TTCTGAATATTAGATAGTAATTAAATATAAAATATAGCAGGTAGTTTTAGAAGGAAAGATTTAAGAAGAGTTAACTCAATAATCATTACAATATTACATAACCATACATAGATCGAAATAAGACAAATCGGGTTCAAATCGATATCACAAAATCCTGATATGAACCTGATTTGAAACAGATATTTGGCACAAATACGAGACCTATAGGATACAATTTGGATTAAAATCAGGATTTCAAGACATATCAGCAAAACGATAGCACAATAGGTAAATCGATAGAGCTACAAGATAAGCTCTATCGATTTACCTATTGAGCTATCATTTTGCTGATATGTCTTGTATGCTGATATTAATCCAAATTGTATCCTATAGGTCTCGTATTTGTGCCAAATATCTGTTTCAAATCGGGTTCATATAAGGATTTTGTGATACTGATTTAAACCCGATTTGTCTTATTTCGACCTGTGTTAATTAAGCAAAATTGTATAACACATCAAATAATATATTTTGGTAGAATAAACAGAATACTTTAAATGAAAACATTCTAAAACCACTTATTTTTTATGAAATTGAAAATGTTTCTACTGTTCAATGATACTTTTCACAAATGAACTGTCAGAATTTTGTTGTAATCATGAGAAACAGCAAATAGCAATATTACCACCTTATTCTGCAAGATATTAATGAAATTCTTAATAATTTTTCTATAAGCACTATTTCACAAAAACTCAACATACTTTTCTTCTTTATAGCAATTGGCGTTTAGGGTCAATTTGTAAATTTATCTAAACCATCCTCTGTTTGCATAACTGGATACACTTATCATCATATTTTACCAGTAAATACTCCTAATCATCCTATACATTGGTTAATTTATGATGAACAAGAATAATAACATCTCGAAACTACAAAATATCAGAAGAATTAACAATAATCCAATTAATGCTAATCAGGATCAATCCCTACATGCATTCACTTCGAATTTTTCAAAATAATTCATATAATGAAATACTCGAATTATATGAAAATACTTCTACTGGAGAAGTTGCAGCAATTATACATGCCAACAATTCTTTTAACATACATCCACGTAGTATTATTATCTGGTGCTCAGTAGATATTGCACCAAAATTTATAAGCATATTTAGTGCTCAATATAAACATTACAATACCTGTTACTTTTTTCACATAGTACTCCTGGATGGCATATAAATAATCGATATAATCTCTCTCAAATTAACTGGTATAGATATCGCCTCTTACATGAACTATGATTTTTAAAATTTAGAAGATTAACTTCTAAATATTTAGTAAACATGTATTCACATATTGAAGAAGAACAATTAAATTATATATTAAAAAAAAGTCTTTATAAAGAAAAAACTTATGACCCCAAAACAATATAATAATTGAAGATGATTTTAAAAATGATAATGAAGATGAAAATGGTGATCTTTATCTTCCAGCATCTTTTCTAGAGTCAAAAAGATGGTGCTTTTCTCATATTACAAATGCACTTGCTCTTGCCTGTTGTAAAGGAAAACAAAGTTTTTTTATTACAATGTCAACTATTCCAAACTGGATAGAAATCAAATCACAACTACAACCTAACCAGAATACATCAGAAAATTGCATCTATAATTGTATGTGCATTTCACTCCTGCTTTAAAAAACTAAAAGATTTATTATGTATATACTTTGGAAAAGTTATTTATATTATTGATATAATAGAGTTTCAAAAATGTGGGTTTCTCCATGCTCATATCGTAATGTATATACAACCAGAACCATTTATTAAACAAATTGGCAAGATTGTATGCGCAGAATTATCTCAAGAACAATCACCTTTGAGAAAAATAGTTAAAAAAAATATATACACAAAAAAATTACTTACTACATTGCCTTCACAATAACAAATATATATATGGATATCCAAAATCTTTAAATCTAGAAACATATATAAATAAGAGAGGTTACATACAATATCACCGCAGAACACAAGATGATGCATGGGTTGTACCCTACAATCCATTGCTAATTTCAAAATTAGAATGTTATATTAACTTTGAAATTGTCTCAACTGTTCACCTATTTATATATCTATACAAATATCGTTTTAAAGGTCCTGATTATGTAAAATATACTATAAATAACATATCAGAAAATTCCAAATGACAACCAATTAATGAATTCAAAGATTATATTAATAGAAGATATCTATCAGCCCCTGTAGCTGCTTGGAGAATATTTCGTTACTCTATAACTACATCAGACCTGTCAGTTTTAACTCTTTCTATACACCTATCTAACACTAATATTTCTCAATACCAATGCACCAAAAGCATCACATCTTCAGCCTCCCTTCTTGACTATTACTTTCTTAAGCCTTTGGAGTTTCCCTTTAACAATTTAAAATACACAGAATATTATGAACGTTATATACTATACCCTTATAACATTTTAAAGTATTAAAAAAATTGTCAAAAAATGAACTACTACTAAAATTACTAAAGTAGTTTTAATATCACCAAATGCCGGTAAACTTTTTTATCTTAGAACAACTCTAATACATTGTGCAGCCTAAACTTGGAATAATCTTAAATAATAAATAAAAACTATTACGATACCTATCAAAAAGTTGCCTGTTAAATGTGATTATTCGCAAATGAAGATGAGAGTATACTTACAATAAAAGAAGCAGTAAAAAATTATTATACACCTACACAATTACAATTCTTATTTGTATAACTTATATTAGATAGTGCACCTACTATAGAATTGTGGAAATGATACAAAGATAAACTACTAGCAGATCATCAAGAACAATGTCAAAATGATTATAAAGCTATTGAAATGAGTTTACAACAAATAGCTACCATGATTACAGAACATGGGTAATGCATAAGTGATTTTGAACTACCAGAACCAAATACATAAACTCGAGAAATAATTGCAGAATGGCAACATTATTCTAACCATACCAAGTACTATCAACTTACAAAAAAATTATACTCACAAATAACACAAGAACAAAAAAGTTTTTATGATGAAATAATAAACTGTATACTTAAACAAAAAAGTATCTCAATATACAAATTTTCTAAATTTCTGGATGGCAAAGCTGGCAGAGGCAAAACATTTTTAATTAAAACTATCTGTTATGCAATTAGAGCAGCAAATAAAATTGTATTAATCTGTGAAACCACAGCTTTAGCAGCTCTTATATATGAAGGAGAACATACAGCTCATTCCTTATTTCATATTCCTGTAGAAGAAAATAATATAAATATTCAATCGAAAATTAAATATAGAAGTAACCGAGCAGACTTAATACATGAAGCAGAATTAATTGTATGGGATGAACTCCCTATGGCAAATAAAGCTTTGCTAGAAAGTGTTGATTTACTACTCTGGCAAATATGTGAAAACAATGAACCCTTCGGAGGAAACCGTTCATAGGGATTGGTGACTTTTGGCAAGTAGCACCAGTAATTAAAGGTTTAGGAAAAAGCACAATAATTAATGCGCCAATTAAAACATCATATTTATGAAAATCATTTCATAAGTATGTACTCAATCAACCCACATGCAATGCAGATGACCCAAACTTTGCAACATTCATAGATAATATTGGTGAAATTTATAGAGATCAGGAAGTTTCTCTAAACATATTTCAAACTACTCACAATATTGAAAAAGCCACATCATTCCTATATTCTGAAAATATACTTTCAAACAATAATGCTCTACAAAAAAGAGCTTTTCTAAGCCCACGAAATTCATTAGCAAATAATTTTAACCACAGAATACTCGCCAAATTACCTGAATCAATTCACACATATTTTAGTTACGATACTGTTAAAAAAAATGATCAAATAATAAATGACCATCCTACAGCAACACCTGACTACTTAGCCCAGCTAACCTATCCAGGAATACTAGATCATGAAATCTACTTAAAAACTAGAGTAATATGCTCAATAATGAGAAAAATTTCCATAGAAAAAGGATTAGTAAAGAATATGCGAGTTATAATAAAAAATTTAAGACAAAAATTGATCGAAATAGCGATATTGAAAGATGAAAATCTGGACAACATATCAGAAATTCATCTAATCCCCAGAATAAATTTCTACTTCCAACCTGACTATACATCATGGACAGTACACCGAAAGCAATTTCCATTACGTTTAGCCTATTCAACTAGTTTTAATAGTTGTCAAGGTCTTACACTAGATCGTGTAGTCATAGATCTCAGAACCCACGTATTTGTTCACGGGCAACTTTACACAGCCATATCACGAGTAAAAAACAGGAACCATGCTTTAATATTATTACCAGAAAATAATACAAACAACAAAACAATAAATATAGTATACGAAGAACTAATAAAATAAATACCTTTAACAAATAAACCTAAAAAACAAATATTCTACTTATAATTCGACAATCCAATACTACTTAAATAAAATATATTTAAACTAAAAATCTTTTACACACTTAAACTTAAAATAATTACTACATTCTAATACATAAAATCTAATCTTACAAGCAAATATCAATTCTAATAATAAATTACTCAATTATAAAGGGCGCCGTGGGCGCCAGCTCTACCCTTGTATACAAATATATGTCTGTTCCTGGTTTTAGTGCAACTACATTGTGTAGCTACCTTATTTTATAAGTACGTATACAAATGTATATCCACATATCATTACTTTGTATATCAAAAAGCGCCAATTTTATAAAAGCCTGGGTTAAATTTAATTTTATTTTTTGATATAAATACATTTAATTTTCAAAGATTGAATTGACTTTCGAAAAAAAAGAAATTTTTCACAAAAATTTTAAAAATGTCTTAGAAATCTAAATTCAATACTATTCCATTTACTAAAGAATCCTATGAATTGAAAAGTAATACTTTTGTTTCTTGAAACTCAATCGTTAATGTAATTCAATCGTTAATGTTTCATGCATCTAATAGAATATTATTAATAAATTTAAGGACCTTCAAATACAATTAATATTGAAGAAGCTTCAACTAATTCTGGCAATGCTTCGGATGGGCTTCCTAAATCAATTAATACTAAAACTTTTTCAGAAGAGCCTGATCTCTTAACTCTGAACCTACCAAAAATTATCCGAACAAACCAGACAAGTTCTTCAAAATCTTAAAAGCACATTATAATTCTTACAAAGCTCGTTCTATTTCTGATGACCTGATTATCAATATGTTACATGAATTTAAAAAGACTTGAAAAACTTGAAAAAAATAAAAATTTTTTTTAGCAAATATTTATATGAAATTATTTGTTTACTTATTTCATATGCAAATATAAGCAAACTAGCATATTCTTATTTATTATACAATACTAAATATATAGCATTATAAGAATTTTCATTATCATTTTTGTTATTTTTTTTTAATCAATTAATATAGTACTATAATAAATAAAGGTCTTGGGTTTCAAACTAAATGAACTATTTCATGGGTAAGTTCGTAATTTCAAATCAACTCTCTTAAAACGATTACTACTGATAGAGACGATGCTCAAATAATTACGATTAATTGAGTGACTAATGTAGGGATGAAAAAAAAGGGTTAAACCGTTTTTAGATTGTTTGAGACATTCTAAAAAATTTTTTAAAACATTGGCGCTGAGACTAATATTTAGTTAGGGCTATAATGCCGGTTAGTTGGAATCACCAAGTTACGTAGAGATAATATTTAAAGAAAAAATATTCACTTTATAAACTTTCATTTATTATATAATTATGAGAAATGAATAATTGCTTAATTTCTGATTTAATTATATATATATTTGCTTTATATGTTCTTTCTAATTTAGCACAACTATAAATTTAATTATTATCATCTAATTATCTAAATTGGCTATGTTATCTTCGTTTAAACCGAAGCTTGAGTAACAGCATTATTTAATGAAATTTTTATAATTTTTGGAAGATTTATATAAGTGATTTTTAATTGAGTGTAATTTGACGAGGTGTAGTTCGACCAAGTTTGTCAATTTCCGTAATTTTTGTAAAGTTCGTGCGAATTTCTTTTAATGGAGGTATCACACGGAGCATAGTTGCTTATAAAGATAGCGATAAAGTTGTATTTTGACGAAATTAGTTAAATAAATAATACATCCATTGTATATTATGATTACATCAAAACGTATTAAATCATTTAACAATTTTAAATAACATTCTCATCCCTAAACAATAGAATAAAATAAAGATCTCAATCACTGCTTGTGAGGACTCTAAGTAGTTTATCGAAATTTTACAAAAAAATGTCGATAATGAAAATCCATAATAAAAAGCATGAAAACACTTGAGAAATACTTTATTCACTTAAATATTTATAAAGTTTTTTTAAAAAAGATGGTTTGTGTAAAAAAGTTTTTTTTTTTTTTTGACTGAAATTGATCATTTTTAGTGACAAGATCGATTGCTCGATTAAAATACTTTCCGTTAATTCCCAACACATTTATGACATACTTTGACCCATTAATTGAGGTGCTCGAGAACGCTCATAGTTAGGTGAGCGCTGATATATTTTCGATCAAAGTTCTTACAAAATTTTAAGCATCGATCAAATAGAAGCTGCGTTAAGAATTGTTTTTAAGCTTTGATCGAAGATGTCTCCTAACCAAATTCAATAAATTTTGATCAAGATATCTTGGCACAAACCTAATCAAATTAGATGAATTTCTTTTTTATCTGAATTCTGCTATCTTCTATTAAAATAAATAAAAACGTTCATCGAATTTCATTATATATGTGCTAAGACATCTTCGATCAAAGTTTAAAATTTTTAAATAAGTAAAAACGATTTAAATCAACAAGGTATGGCATCAAAAAAAATAGTGTGGAAATATAGTTGTTAGACGAAACCTTTTTACGAAAGACGAAACCTCTGACGAAAGTCGAAACCCCAAATACTTCTAACGAGAGACGAAACCCTAAACTTAGATGACGAAACCTTATGCTCAAAAAGACTAAATCCTAGTGCTTCCGCTAAAAAAAAAAAAAACATAAAATGAAACAATTGTTATTTCATTTAATTAACATTCATAATTTATTCAGAGAACGGTATCCGAAAATACATGTATACAGCAAAAATAAACCAGTTCATTTTTTCTGGACAACGCTAGGGTTGTTATAGACCGAATAAATAACATTGTCAAAAAGCCATAGCACTCATGGAATAACGCAAATAATGAATTAAAACATACTGGCACAAAAAAGTTTGTAAGATCACAAAGTAAGCACCAAGCGATTTCTGACTAGAACTGATATGTAAGACGAAACCTTTTCGCATGATGACGAAAGTCGAAACCCTAAACCAAAAATGACGAAACCTTATGCTCAAAAAGACGAAATCCTAGTGCTTCCGCTAAAAAAAAAAACATAAAATGAAAACAAATGTTATTTCATTGAATTAACATTCATAATTTAATCAGAGATCCACCAGCAAAAATAAACCAGTTCATTTTTTCTGGACAACGCTAGGGTTGTTACCGGCTGAATAACCTTGTTAAAAAGCATAGTAATCGTGGAATACGCAAATAATGAATTAAAACATACTGGCACAAAATAAATTTGTAAGATCACAAAGTAAGCACCAAGCGATTTCTGACTAGAACTGATATTGAGTATATACTAGTATAATCAATATAGAATACTCATTTCTAACTCCATTCAAGCGACTTTATACAATAAATTTTATAAATTTTTGTTTGTTAGTTTATTTTTTTTATGCACATAATCTTCAATGATTTTCATCAACATTTATTTTTTTATTAGTGTCAAGTAGCTTCCTGATACTACCTGTATTGGTGGGTCTTTACTTTCTATCTTCACTCGCTTGACTATTCTTTCCGAAGACCGTGTATCGTACAGGTCCTTCCACCACGGTTGTATATGCTCACACAGGTAATACGGTTTATTCACTAAGAACGAAAGTTGTTATTCACAAAGCTCAAAAAGCTAAAAGCTAGGTACTCTCCCTTTCAGGATCGATACCTTATATATTATTACTAATCGTTATTCAGCGTCACTGATTATTACATATTACCTCATCGCTCATGCAATCAATGTTTTAAACTTTTAATTATTTTTCATGCATACCCGAATCACGCCATTCATGCAAATTGGGATCATGACCCGATCATGATCCCTTGACCTGACCCTTGCGCTACGAATACCTGGGACCACGACAATTAGCTTCGTCAGTTTCATCAGTTACATCACCTTTCATCATTTCATCATTTAAGATTTTAATTGACGAAAGACGAAACTAGGTTTCGCGTTTCGTCAGCGTGAAACCGCGAGTTTCGCCTAACAACTATATGTGGAATTATTGTAAATCCTAAAAAACATAAATATAATTTAAATATTTATATGTGTGTTTTCTGGAACTTCATATTTTTCATTTCGTAATCTATTTTTTTATTTGCTGTTTAGACAATTTAGATATAAAGAAGGAATTTAAATAATCCAATTAAGCTGTAAGATCCGTTTTATGAACACTTTCTCTATCTAGTAAATTAGAGCGTACAATTAATTATAATAAAAATTTTGCAGCAAATTCATAATATTAATGCCGATTTTAAATTTTAAACAACCAGTCTGACACTTGTAAAAAAAGTAGGTGGCTGTGGATCCAGGTTTTTTTAACTTAAAATTTCGAGACGTTGATGATAAAAAAAAAAGTACAATATAATAAAGCTTTCGGGAAAATACATCATCAAGGATTCATTGTTAATAAAATGGTTTGTCAGAGAAATGATCGTGTTAATCAAATTTTGTAGATTTATTTATGAGAACAGCTTGGCGCCAAATTATGCTAAATTATAGTATTTAACAATCAACCATCATTATGCAAAATACGATGTAATGCACTTGAAAATCTATCAATAGTTAACAATCAACAAGAATATCTTCATATGGTACCAATGCAACATATGTTTCCACTTCCTTTCTAATATTCTCATCTAAATCTAAGACCGAATATTCGTATACACCCACATAATTCAAGTTTCTGTTTCGTACACAGAATTCGATAAGAGCTTTAATATCTTTCTCGTTATCAAGGCGATTAATTAATAGCTTTTTAATAGGTGTATTGCAATAATTAAGGAAAATATCTAGATATGGTTCCATCCAAGTATAATCCAAGTGAAGATATTGTAATGATAACGGCAATATTTTTGAAAATTGCATAACCCGTAGTTTCAGTACTTCTTCTGGTATTTTGTCAACATAGCAATTTAACGAGAGAAATTGAAGGTTTTGCAAATTATCAATAAGCTCTAGTAATTGTGTAGAAAAATTAATATACCCAATGTAGAGGTATGTAATGTTTGGACAGAAGGACTTAAGTGGTCCTAGTAATAATGTTTCTTCAAAAATTTCATCAACATCAATTTGTAGTAATTCAAATCTTAATCGTTGTAGTAAGGTGCCAGACTTTTTAAAAATTAATGCTACAGTATGTACATCAAACACATTATCAGCTATCTCTAAATTGCTGATTTTATAATCTAATAATTTCATCAGTTTCATATTACAACACTCAAAACGAAGTGTTTCTATTTTTTTACAATTATTTAGCACCTTGAACTCTGCGCTATAGTTACAATTATCTAATATAACTTCTTGTAATGAGTTTTTTTGATTATCTAAAGCTGAAATGATGCCATGGAACTTCGAAGAATAATCTATTGCAACTAATTTGAACAGCCTAAGATGTTCTTGTGAATTAATAACGTATATAAGAGCTGGAGATATTTGTAATTCATAATTAGTATTAAAAGCTTCAATTTTCAAAGCACTAATTTTTGTAGTACTTTTTGCCAAGGCCCTTAATAAAATAATAGCGCTTTCAATGTTGTAGTCTGATATTTCGCCCAAAGATAGTTGTTGGATTCGTGAGAAAAATTGCACATTTTGTCCTAATGTGCAAAAGATTTCTGGCTTTAATTTAAGGGATTTTGTAAAATCTAAATCTAATTTATGCAGAGTGGCACCACTTTCAATGAATAATTTGAATAGTAAATTAACTATATGATTTATCAGTGGGTCGTTGTGAAGTAATTTCGATTTAACAATCTCGAGATTGATCCATTTTTTGACTTGATTTTCTAAATAAGATAAGTCGAGAACCTTTAAAAATTTCGTATATTCAAATACTGTTTTGAAAAATTCCAGTTTTACGCCATATTGTTTTAAACCTTTATTCAAAATGAATTTTTCGTCTTCGTTAAGAGATGATAAGTATTTGGAAATAAATGAAGGCCGTACAACAAATGAAAATGGATCTTGCCAAAGAATAGGAACTGACATTTTGCACCATTGTCGGCTCACAAGTGCACACGAATATAAGGAATAAATTTCATCATTTAGATTATTAAGAACAACTTCCATTATTTCGGGCATACAACCCATAAGTACTTTCGACGCCATGAGTGGCTTTGCGTTTATAAAGAAAGGAATATTGGAAAATGTTATGCCCGTATCCTATAAATAGATGGATGATCTACTCTTAATCAAATCTTACGGACTGATTTGTGAATGTTTACTAATTACATGAATTTTGTACAACCAATTTTGCCAATCATATCGGGTCCAATTTAGATGAAGCTTTCGAATACGTAATTAAGATCTTCATACAATTCATCGCTTTTTCTAACCAATCAAGACTATCAACATAAGCTGGGAGGTGAGTTATGCGTTGGAAATGAGTTGACGAGTTGGAGATGAGTTAAAATCTAACTACGTAGGAATTAAACCAACATATTTAGTTTATTATTTATCATAAAGTTTTTTTTTACTAAATATCTAACATTCGAATACCCAAATATTTGGAAATAGGTCAAATGCTGCCTAGTTTAAAAAAATTCCAACATGTTACCCATTCAGCACGTTATTTGCCAACACAAGGTTCTCTAGATTCTCCAGGGGTCAAGTTCTTAGGTTCTCCAGGTTCCCCGGCTCATTTGTTCCTCTATCCATTACCCATTTCAAGAAATTACATCATGAAGTACATTTTTTTATAAACTTACGTAGTTCTATAAAGTTATATAAATGGTATATAAAATTTTTATATAG